ATGAATAAATAAATGAATTTTCACTACCAAATAAATAAATAAATAAATAAATAGAATTTAATATTAAATAAATAAATAAGATACTTTATAAACAAACAAACAAACAAACAAACAAACAAGCAGACATTATAATAAACATAATGATGGTAATTAAAATAAACATCTCTGACTATAATCTATATGAATATGAATATTGATAAACACTGTTGTTATATCATTAGATAATAAAGGTGTTGAACTCTTAAATTAAGCTTTAAATTTCAAAATTTGCTATAGCAGTTGATCATTTAATAATATATGTCAATATTTTAGAAAGGCATTTGTTAATAATAATATTTTTCATATTATATCATATCATAGCTAGAGGTGTCATCGATAAGGATTTTTGTATCGATATATCGGTAATGAATTATCGGCGATACAGCGATATATCGATTGCCAGGCTAAATTTTAGCTTTCAAGTCTTTTTAAATTAATGTTTCCTAAGGACACTGACAAAGCAGTTATATTAAGACAAATGCAAAAAAGATAAACTATGAAAACCGAATAATTTGTTTCTTTTTTTATCATATAGCTATAAATGAAAACTAATGACTAGTAACTATAAAGTTTAAAGCCTTTTCCATTTTACTTTTGTTGTTGTTGTTGCTATTACGTAGTTACTGATCATGCTAAATCCCGTCCTTGCCGTTCCAATTAAGCCGAGTTTAATTGGCAAATTATAGTGTTTAGAACCTGAATATTTATTAACGTTTAACATTTTGTAATCATAATTTTTATAAAGAAACACTGACAAATTTTTCTTGGCATTTTCCCTTTTTAAAATCTGAATTGACATCCACTTAGCAGCAAGCGAGATTACAACGAAATTAGGCAGCATTCGTTAGAGACACTGGGAGGTAACTTTGGCATTGATTTCCGTTTTCATTTTAGAAAAAAAATGTTTCTGGCTTCCATAACTTTATATGTCACTTTTATTTTGACGTTTTGCGACAGTAAACAGGTCTATCAGTTCTATAAAACCTGTTCGCTGAAGTCTCTTTAGCTAGAAATATATGTGCATTCGATATCCGATATTTAAAAAATGGAATCGATATCGAATCGGATAACAAAGATCGTTGATACACCGATATCGATTGAATCGATGACACCCCTAATCATAGCCATTAAATTTTGCCATTTTGTCACCTTATTGCAGTAAAGGGTTTACTTCCAGTAAACTAAGGTTACAGTTTCATGCCTTGATCAGTAATTGAAAACGCAGTTATATGTAAAATAACACAAATTCTGTAGTCAGTTTGTTCATTTAGTTAATTGATAGGTATGTAATAAGAATATTTTGAGTGATGAGCTAGATTTTGTGAGATTTTAATTGTTCCCGCAGGTGGAAGCATTAAGTTAGATGCTTTAATATTATGTTATGATATAGACTCTGTTTTGAGTGCTTTTAATTATCTGGTATGTTACACTGCTAGAACAACTAATTTTCAGGTAAATGGGAAACAAACCACTTAAAAGACCGCCCCTTAGCCTTACAGGAGTTGGTTGCTTTTTCGTTGTTTTTGTGCCCCCACTTTAGTGGCGGGCATTTAGATTTACCCTTGTCCGTCTGTCCTTCCGTCCATCCATCCGTCCGTCCGTTCTCTTTTGTGTCGCACGTAACTCAAAAAGTATTTGACCTAGAGTCATGAAACTTTACAGGAATGTTGATCAGCATGTGTAGTTGTGCACCTGGGTATTTTCGTCAGGATATTTTTTAGTATTTTTAGAGTTATTGCCCTTGACTTAGTAAAATTTTGCAATTTTCAAATTGTGTCGAATGTAACTCAAAAAGTATTTGACCTAGAGTCATGAAACTTTACAGGAATGTTGATCAGTATGTGTAGTTGTGCACCTGGGTATTTTTGTCTGGATATTTTTAGTATTTATAGAGTTATTGCCCTTGACTTAGTAAAATTTTGCAATTTTCAATTTGTGTCGCATGTAACTAAAAAAATATTTGACCTAGAGTCATGAAACTTTACAGGAATGTTGATCAGCATGTGTAGTTGTGCACCTGGGTATTTTTGTCTGGATATTTTTAGTATTTTTAGAGTTATTGCCCTTGACTTAGTAAAATTTTGCAATTTTCAACTTGTGTCGCATGTAACTCAAAAAGTATTTGACCTAGAATCATGAAACTTTACAGGAATGTTGATCAGCATGTGTAGTTGTGCACCTGGGTATTTTCGTCTGGATATTTTTTAGTATTTTTAGAGTTATTGCCCTTGACTTAGTAAAATTTTGCAATTTTCAACTTGTGTCGAATGTAACTCAAAAAGTATTTGACCTAGAGTCATGAAACTTTAAGAATGTTGATCTGTATGTGTAGTTTTGCACCTGGGTATTTTCGTCTGGATATTTTTAGTATTTTTAGAGTTATTGCCCTTGACTTAGTAAAATTTTGCAATTTTCAACTTGTGTCGAATGTAACTCAAAAAGTATTTGACCTAGAGTCATGAAACTTTAAGAATGTTGATCTGTATGTGTAGTTGTGCACCTGGGTATTTTGTCTGGATATTTTTAGTATTTATAGAGTTATTGCCCTTGATTTAGTAAAATTTTGCAATTTTCAACTTGTGTCGCATGTAACTCAAAAAGTATTTGACCTAGAGTCATGAAACTTTACAGGAATGTTGATCAGCATGTGTAGTTGTGCACCTGGGTATTTTCGTCTGGATATTTTTAGTATTTTTAGAGTTATTGCCCTTGACTTAGTAAAATTTTGCAATTTTCAACTTGTGTCGAATGTAACTCAAAAAGTATTTGACCTAGAGTCATGAAACTTTAAGAATGTTGATCTGTATGTGTAGTTGTGCACCTGGGTATTTTGTCTGGATATTTTTAGTATTTATAGAGTTATTGCCCTTGATTTAGTAAAATTTTGCAATTTTCAACTTGTGTCGCATGTAACTCAAAAAGTATTTGACCTAGAGTCATGAAACTTTACAAGAATGTTGATCAGTATGTGTAGTTGTGCACCTGGGTATTTTTGTCTGGATATTTTTAGTATTTATAGAATTATTGCCCTTGACTTAGTAAAATTTTGCAATTTTCAACTTGTGTCGCATGTAACTCAAAAAGTATTTGACCTAGAGTCATGAAACTTTACAGGAATGTTGATCAGCATGTGTAGTTGTGCACCTGGGTATTATCGTCTGGATTATTTAGTATTTTTAGAGTTATTGCCCTTGACTTAGTAAAATTTTGCAATTTTCAACTTGTGTCGCATGTAATTCAAAAAGTATTTGACCTAGAGTCATGAAACTTTACAAGAATATTGATCAGCATGTGTAGTTGTGCACCTGGGTATTATATTGTCTGGATTTATTTAGAATTTTTAGAGTTATCGCCCTTGACTTAGTAAAATTTTGCAATTTTCAACTTGTGTCGCATGTAACTCAAAAAGGATTTGACATAGAGTCATTAAACCTTACGGGAAGGTTGCTCAGCATATTTAGTTTTGCACCTGGGGTTTCGCTTGTGGATTTATCCACCAACTTTACAGGAATAATGATCAACATCACTAAAATACAGGAATAATGATTCACATCACTGTGAAGCTATGCACCTGGGATTTTGCATGTGGATTTTTTTCAGTTTTGTTAGAGTTATTGCCCTTGACTTACAGTAGTATAAATTTGCAATTTTCAACTTGTTCATGCATAGCTCAAAAAGTATTTCACTTGTAGGCCTGAAAGTTTTCAAAAATGTTGGTCAGCATGTGTACTTATGCACCTTGGGGTTTGCTTGTGGATTTATTCAGTATTTGTAAAGTTCTTGCCCTGTACTTTAGTAAAAGATTTTTAGTTTTCAAAAAATATTTGACCTAGAGTCATAAGATTGACAGAACAGTGGCGCGGTGGGGGCACCCATGTCACATTTCTAGTTTTTAGAAAAGATGGCCTGGCTCTAATGGACAGGTGTCTTAAGGCTGATCACTTTAGGATTCAGCAGATAGAAGGTTAAATTGTAAAATTATCTATTCTTATGCAAATTGTTTACATTTTTCACCATGTATGGAACATCAAATGAGGAATTATAACAATTTGAATAAATTTGAATAAAAGTAATTTGAAATTAAAACAAATTAGGTCACATAATATACCTCATAGCTTTATTGAAAGTTACCCTAGTTTTACACTTGAATTACATTAACATGGCATTAACATTGACAGCTGTTGTTTTGTATTATATCAACACTGTTTTTATCAGTCTGATTATATTGGAAAAAAATACTGGTATTAAACAGGAAAAATGCTGGTCCTTAAAATCATAAATTTTATTTCCTCATTTTAAAAGGTAACTGTACTGAGAAGAATAAGAAAATAATAATTATAAAAAAAAATATCACCTGACATTTGACACCCACAGAAATATTATTGAAATAGTGTTTATAGGATTGTATTTCAGGTATTGAAGTGTCAGTAGAGCTGGAATGGCTTTTTGAATAAAGTTGGCAGCATCTTTCTAATGTAAAAGCCTTAGCTAAGTGAGCTGTCATGTAAAAGAATGCTTTCAGGGCTGCTAAGTGCCTTTAATCGTCATTTGCTCGTGAATTTACAATAGCTTTACAATTTATAATATATAAATCTATTGTTATGTAAAACATGTTTTCATGCCTGTACAGTGTACAGGGAGATAATATTGTTTCTGTCTTGTCAGTGTATCTATATGTTTTAGCCTTTGTTATAACATCTTCATTTTATAAGTCAATGCCTTTATACTTCAACAGATAATACCTCTGGATAAAATAGCTTCATCTCAATGTGTTTACAATAACCTTGACCCCAAAATAACCTTGATGTTTAAGGTCATATTCTCAAGAATTCTGAAAAGTTTCACAAGAACTTTGTCTTTTAATTCTAGTTTTCCGAAAAGTATGAATTATCATTATTTATTATGTTCATTTCCTCAATATGTTTTTATCCTAGTTCACCATTTCATATTATAATTTGCAGGTTGTGGGCGGAGATATTCCACGTGGTGGGTCATGGAGACTTTATGCAGTGGAAGCGTGTATCTGAGGATGTCGTGCCCATCAATATCACTTGTGTGGAGGACACGCCCAAAACCCTTTTCCAGGTCACAGCTTACAATAGACATGTTGAAAAGATCTTTGATGTCAGAATTGTTCAACCAGGTTTGTGTTCAGGAAAAATACATATATATTTTGAGGGCATTGTTGTAAAATAATGCAAGGTTCACATTCAGATGTTCAGTAATATAATCACGAGGACCGATCGGCCCAAGTGATTGATTGCAAAGCATTTGAACAATAACTACAACACAAGAAAATTTTAAATCTAATTCCCATTCTTAAGAATAGTCATAGGTTCAATCTTTTTAAGGGTCAAAACTTTATATTCTGCCATATATTGAATATATTTAGCCATAAATGATTATAAACAATAAAACCAGCAGAGAAAGGATTAAGCTGAGGAAAGTTTGAGTTTAAAACCATGAAATGTTAAATACAAATTTGAATCTTAAACAGTTTTCGGTTAAACTATTTTCAAGGAAATCATCTATAACTGCAGTGTGACTACGGAGTGGTTAACGTGTCGGATTATTTATCTAAGAATGACTAGCAGTGTGGGTTCAAACCCGTCAGGTACACTCATTTCTTAGTACTAAGGTTTGTTCCAGGAACAGATTCTAGAGTGTTTCAAAAAGCTTATACCTTCCAACACAATCAAACTGAAATAAGTTTGTATAAACTAAACTATCTGCAAATTAATATTTTTGTAATACTAAATTAGTTGATAGGTGACACAGGTTACCACTTCCACTCTGTGAACATTCAGCCTATAGCAAGATCTTTAAATGGAAGCAAAAAAATAATAGCCAAATTCCCAGAAATGGTAAAAAGTACATCATAGAAGCCACAGTGACCTTTGTGGAAATAGCTGAAATAACTTAATATTTTAGAAGTGCAACTAATTTTCCTGTTCCAATGGCGTAACTACTCTTCAAAAATGATTAAGGAAAAAGATGTTTATTAGTGTTATAACATCTGCAGACTCTCTGGGGCAGAAAGAGTTAATTTGCCTACTTAGCAAGAAAAACAAAACAATTTCTTAACCAATTTTCATCAAACTAGCTAATGTTACATAATGATTTTGGTTTGGTTAGTATTTTAGGTGAATTGTGTATGTTATGGCACTCAGGGGCTTTCTTGTTTCTACATGTACATAATGTCTTGGAAATGAATAACCTTGCTATATCAAAAGGAAAGTGGTAAAAACACCGCAATTAAAACTTGGAAAGCTGATTAAAGGAAAAATGACAAAATGCCCTTCATAGATAGGCCAAAGCCCTTATTTTAAAAATTGCAATGATGACCAAAAGCCCCTCAGTAAAAGTTGTAAAAATGACCAGATGCTCCTTAGTAGAAATTGCAAAGATGACCAAGAGCCCCTTACCGAAATATGTAAAATAACCAGAGGCCCCTCAGTCAAAGTTGTAAAAATGACCAAAAGCCCCTCAGTAAAAGTGACCAAAAGCTCCTCCTGTTTAAGGCTGACCTGTCTTTATACTGCTGCTGCTCTGAAAGAGTCTAATTCTAAATTTGTTTTGCACATTTCTACTGATCGACATTTCTAGAGCCATGTGTTGCAAGATCAAACACAAGAAAATTAAAAGTAATTAAGCTTGCAGTAGTTCATTAATGTTGTTTGATTTAATGATTAAAACCAGTGCATCTTGCAATGGCTATGTATAATTTGAACTGTTTTTAGTGCTTACAGTGTTGGATACAAACCATGTTGCCACAGTGAGCCGTCTAACCTGACTCAGCACCGTTGAATGCTCAAGTTTGCACGTGTTTCTTTAAATATTTTTATTGGCACCCCTAAAATTGATAATGGGCAATTCTAAATTCTAAGTAAGTTCATTATTCAAATTCAGCAGGACATGTCATATAAAAGTTATATGACCATCTCCTTATTAGGTATCATTATGACCAAATAAGCTTACTTTGAATTAAGAATATTTTGGCTTTTCCCAGAGCTAATCTGAGGGGTGGGGGTACAAACAAATGCTTCGGAAATAAGTGCAACAGTTTGACTAATCTATTACCAAGGGCAGTTTACTGTAAAGCTATAATTTGTACCGGAGAGGGGGATTAGCTAGGAATAACCAACATTTGCCAAGTTTCGAATAAAAACTATTTGAGAGATCTTTCAAAATTGTTCTAATACTGTTATGTTTGTAAACTATTCAAATTTTATGCAGGAACATTGTGTATACCATTGTGTATAACTTTTATCAATATAGTTTTACATATGTAATAAATAGATATTCTGTAAGGTGTACGTACAACATGGTTGTGTCCATGATTGCAAAGATAGTAATATTATGTAAATGCAGTATATTTAAGAAAATTTTTCTTTAGTGCCTGAATTCAATATTGTGTTGAAGCGAAAAGAAAGCAAGATTAAATCATCATGAAATTACATTCTTTTTTCTTCAGGTACCATTCTATGCCCAGCAACAGATTGTTTTGTACACTGGAGAGACCCTCCAAACAACAGTGAGTGGGGACTGAACTTTACATCCCCACAAGATGCCAAAAGATTCAGAGACTGCTGTTCGGTACTGTCAAATATTATATTTTTTTATAACTTTCGTAATAAATAATGCTTGAATATTATAAGTAGACCTTACAATATTGTAACACTTCTTGAAGATGTAGGGGTATTGCTTTGCACGTCATCTAGTGTTTTGTGAATCCATCAGTCTGTCGACCAAACCTTGTTCAACGAATAAATTGAAGGACCAATTACTCAAAAGATCAACTAACTTTGACCACAAACCACTTGTCTGACCAATGGCTAAAATGTCTACAATCTTTTGATTTGGTGGAAAAGTTTTTATACCCCCGCACAACTAAGTTGTAAGGGGGGTATACTGGAATCAGGTTGTCCGTCCGGCTGTCAGGCCGTCCGTCGGTTTTTTCTTGTCCGCCCAATAACTTAAGATTCCTTTGACCCTTAGTCTTCATATTTGGCATGGAGGTTAGTCATGATTAGTAGATGACCCCTATTGATTTTGAGGTCACCAGGTCAAAGGTCAAGGTCACAGGGGCCTTGACTTCAAAAAGCTTGTCCGCCCAATAACTTAAGATTCCTTTGACCTACAGTCATCATATTTGGCATGGAGGTTAGTCATGATCAGTAGATGACCCCTATTGATTTTGAGGTCACCAGGTCAATGGGCAAGGTCACAGGGGCCTTGACTTCAAAAAGCTTGTCCGCTCAATAACTTAAGATTCCTTTGACCCACAGTCTTCATATTTAGCATGGAGGTTAGTCATGATTAGAAGATGACCCCTATTGACTTTGAGGTCACCAGGTCAAAGGTAAAGGTCACAGGGGCCGTGACTTCAAAAAGTTTGTCCGCTCAATAACTTAAGATTCATTTGACCCACAGTCTTCATATTTGGCATGGAGGTTAGTCATAATTAGTAGATGACCCCTATTGATTTTGAGGTCACCAGGTCAAAGGTCAAGGTCACAGGGGCTTTGACTAAAAAATGCTTGTCCGCCCAATAACTTAAGATTGCTTTGACCCACGGTCTTCATATTTGGCATGGAGGTTAGTCATGATTAGTAGATGACCCCTATTGACTTTGAGGTCACCAGGTTAAAGGTCAAGGTCACAGGGGCCTTGACCATAAAAAGCTTGTCTGTCCAATAACTTAAGATTCCTTTGACCCACAGTCTTCATATTTTGAATGGAGGTTAGTCATGATTAGTAGATGACCCCTTTTGATTTTGAGGTCACTGGATCAAAGGTAAAGGTCACAGGGACTTTGACTTCAAAAAGTTTGTCCACCCATTAACTTTAGATTCCTTTGACCCACAGTCTTCATATTTGGCATGGATGTTGATCATGACCATAAGGTGACCCCTATTGATTTTGAGGTCACTGGGTCAAAGGTCAATGTCACAGGGACCTTGACAAAAAAAAGCTTTTCTTCTCAATTGCTAAAGAATGCCTGTCCACAGTGTATTGATTTTGACATTTTCACATTTGAAGCATGTAGAATACATAACTTAGCAATGCACTGGCTTAGTAACCTCAGATTTGGCAGGGAGGTTGTCCTTGAGCTCTAAATGGCCACTGTTGATTCTGACAAAGTGGTATGCGGGGGTATTCACGCCATGATAGTGGCAGTTCTAGTTTTGACTAGTCAAATCTGTGTACATTGGTCATCCAAAGGAGATACCTAACATGGTCTTTATATACAAGTTGTCTTTATTTGGAGGTTACTCAATGAAGGGTTGCCAAAGAAGGCCACTGAAGGTCACTTCGACCTTGACAACCAAAGACTTGTCCAATCAATTAATGATAATATCTGTCATATGTTGTGGTTCAGATCGGAATATTTGTCGCCCATTTGATGAGTTCCTGAGGGATGGATATTCCAATCCAAGCCTTGTTACAGCCTAATGGGCGGTTCCCCTCGACATGGATATTCTGATCTGAATCGCAAACATATGTCAGATATTTTCTCTTGCATGTTCTACCATATTCCATTATATTTTAAACTGATTACCTTAATAAAACAATTTTCCTTAGAAATTTATGTCATTACACCCAAAACTATATCCTTACAACTTCATTCGTAACAGTAAAATTACGTCATCCTAAGCATGCCATTGTACAGCACGCGACTCATCTGGCATCCCCCTTTCCGATGAAATTTTGGGCATGGGTAAAACTAACGGAAATGCCAGTCTGATATGCAAAAAATGACACTTTGTCCTCAAAATGGAGGGTTAATGGTAACAAAGTCTATGTCATGTGACTAATTTAATATGACAATTTAAATTTGTAACCTGTCATGCTGAACTTGTGTAATGGATCTCCTATCCATTCAAAAGTTTAAGTGATTTCAATATCAAAAAATTAGCTACCAGCAGTATAGAGCCTGGTCTTATGACACTTGCCTGGCTTTATACTGGTAGGTAAGCCTAATCCTTTTTAGGTTCCATAAGAGATTAGAAATTTAAAGTGAGTTACTGTATTCTTTGAGTACGGACAAAATCAGAAAGAAGTACTTGTAAACTGACCCAAGGATGTTTTAAAAAGAAAAAAAAAGCTCACAATGTTACTGTTCTATTTTGTCAGGTTTTCGTTATGTTTTACTAGCATGCTTTAATAACTTGTGTTTTTTTCCCTCCATTCAATTGAGTTTTAAATGTTATTAATTTCAATTCTCTTCCATTGCAAAGGAGAAACTTTTAAGTAGAAATTTTAGAAGCAAAGTGCCTAGTTCTAAATTAAATTGATTTGGATAGGAAAATATTTCCGTAGGCAGCAATCTGCAGCTATTGTACAGTGCTTCAGGTTATTCAATTTATATGTAAAAACTCACTTTGCGATGCATTTCTCCTGTCTCAATGGAACATTTCAAGATGTTATCTTATAAGGTGGTATTGTCAGAATTTCCAAACATACTTTAACATTATATTCTTGTATAAAAACTATGCAAGCAACTATACAGTTATTGAGAAAGAATACATGATGAATGGATAAAATCATGCAAGCATAATTATGCCTTTTGGTGCTTATTTTTACATATGTCATCAAGGGCCATGTAAAAATTGCGGACTGCAATGACGGCCCTGGGAATTTCATAATCAAAACATAACTGTCCAATATCATCACACACATGAAAATCGGTGACAAAACCATTTTCTATATACCAAAACAGATAATAAAGCATGAAATTTACGGAATAAGACTTATACTTTATCTGCAAAGTATAGGGCAAATGCACTTTTTTTCGTGCGATTAACATCTGCAAAAACCCTCAAACTGTGTTTTATTCTGCGCCATGTAAGGTTCTGGCTTTAATTACCACAAAAGGGTTTGAAAGATGTTAATGCATGGAACAAGGTGCATGAACTTCTTTTGATCGACGATAGTCATCATGAATGCTTTTGAAAACAATGCAAATTTTTTTAAATGTAGAATCTGTATTTTAAAAATACTATATACTTTGCAACAGTATTAAAGGGATGACTACTCTCATATCCATTGCTAAAGACAGTTATCAAGGTTAATTCCTTAATTCTTTTTCTTTTATCACCATGGTTTCCCAGAGCGCTCAGCATTCATGTCATTCACAAGAGGTTCATGGTTGTCGTTTTAGTCCATGTCATACTATTAAGACCATTTCTATTAATGCTACTACAGTATTACGATAGTTCTTGAATTGGAGCATTTTGGTGTCAATCCAATTTGCACCTTGTCACAAGTTTGTATGTGTGTTATTGTACATTATCTACATCATATCTGGTTTAACAATAGATTAATTTAAAATGCCCGTTAGCTATATTAAGCATGAAATTACTTTTTTGATGCTTTCTTTGATTTAAAATGCAAAGAAAGGAAATTTGAAAAAAACAAAACAGTACACATGTATTTTTTTACATATCTATGTACGAAAACAAGTATATTATTAGATAAGTGTGGTTAAGGAATCTGTGTCTCAACCCAGGGATCTTGGGTTCGAGCCTATTTAGGACATGACCTTGTTTTTTTACATGACAACACCAGTTCTTGTTTAGGTAAATAAAGGGGTTTCACTAAGAGTGATTCAACTATACTTCAACGTTTCATCAGCAATTGAATTAATTGAAATAAAATTTTTAATAATATATTTAAACTAAATGTTAAGTATTTTAATTAGGCTCTGAATCAAAATGCATTATTTGATTTTCTTTTCATAACTTGGTTTATTGACAATAGAAATAATAGTATTTAGAAATTTGGAGAAATTTTTTCTTTTTTTTTAATGTTTTTTAGGTTTTTTTTTTTGTCATCAATCAATTGCTAAACATAAAAGAAAGAA